CTGCATGTCGCAGGTTGTTAATGAGTCTTCCTCCAATCCTGATGCCACATTTTTCTTCATATAACCCAGCTTCTCAGATTATTTGCTTAGCATACAGGTTGAATAAGTATGGTGAAAGAATACAATCTTGTCGTACACCTTTCTTAATTTGAAATCATTCAGTGTTCCCATGTTCTGTTTGAACAACTGCCTCTTGGGCCATGTACAGATTCCTCATAAACACAATTAAGTGTTCTGGAATACTCATATTTTGCAGTTTTGTCCATAGCTTTTCATGATCCACACAATCGAAAGCCTTTGTGTAATCAATAAAACACAGGTAAACATCTTTCTGGTATTCTTTGCTTTCAGCCAAGATCCATCGGACATCAACAGTGATATCCCTCGATCCATGTCATCTTCTGAATCCGGTTTGAACCTCTGGAAATTCTCTGTCAATGTATGCTTGCAGCTGTTTCTGTATTACCTTTAGTAAAACTTCACTTGCATGGGATATCAAAGAGATTGTCTGATGCTTTCTGCATTCTGTTGGGTCACCTCTCTTTGGAATGGGAACACATACAGATTTCTTCTAATACTTGGCCAGATAGTTGTCTTCTAAATTTCTTGGCATAGATGAGTGAATGCCTCCTGTGCCACCTCACTTTCTTGAAAGATTTCAATTTTTATTCCATCCATTCCTGGTGCCTTGTTCTTTGCCAATTCCTTCAGTGCACCTTGGACTTCTTCCTTCAATATCATTGGTTCTTGAGCATATGCTACCTCTTGAAACGGTGTGAACATCAACCAGTAATTTTTGATACAGTGACTCTGTGTATTCCTTCCATCTTTTTATGATGCTTTCTGCATCATTCAATTATTTGCCCAGGGAATCCTTCAATAACGAAAGTCAAGGCTTGAATTTTTTCTTCAGTTCCCACAGCTTGAGAAATGCCGAGTATGTCCTTCCCTTTGGTTTTCTGACTTGACATCTTTGTACATTTCGTTGTAATATTTGACTTTGTCTTCTCAAGCTGACCTTTGAAATTTTCTGTTCAGCTCTTGTACCTCCTTGTTTCTTCCATTTGCTTTAGCATCTCTACGCTGGAGAGCAAGTTTCAAAGTCTCTTCTGACATCCATTTTGATCTTTTCCTTCTTTCTTATCTTCTTAATGGTTTTTTGCTTTCTTCCTATATGATGTTTTTGATGTCATCCCACAACTCTTCTGGTCTTTGGTCTTTTGTGTTTAATGTATCAAATCTGTTCATCAGATGATCTCTAAATTCAGGTAGGATATATTCAAGGTCATATTTTGACTCTGGTGAACTTGTTTTCATTTTCTTCAGCTTCAGTCTGAATATGCATATGAGCAATTGATGATGTGTTCCACAATTTGCCCTTGTCCTTGTTTTGGCTGATGATATGGAGCTTTTCCACCGTCTCTTTCCACAGATTAGTCAATTTGATTTCTGTGTATTCCTTCTGGTGAAGGTCCTGAGGGCTTTACTCCATTCGCGTCATCACGGTCAATTCTACTTTGATGTGGCATTTCTTCCGCAGTCACATTGAGTGCCTTCCAACCTGAGGGGCTCAATTTCTGGCACTGTGTCAGACATTGTTTCGCTGCTGGTCATAAGGTTTTCAGGGACTAAATATCTGGAAGTAGTTCATCTCTCCTTTTTCGTAGTTTGTCTTCATCTGTAAGTTCATCTGAAACCTGTCCACCATGCTGATATTTTAAATACTCATGGTATAGCTTCCAGAATCACAGCAACTCACAATCAATAGTATAGTCAGAATTTTTTGCCAACACCATAACTCAGTTACATCAGTTCTTCTTTGGTATTCTCTATTCATTGTTCAACTTTCTTTTCTTTTTTTTTAAACTGTTTTATTGTGAATTATGTGATAGTTTACATGGGAGAACATTAGCTTTACATTCATCCTATTGTATATCATTACATTGTCATGGTTACAATCCCCTTCATGCAGCATCAACCAACCAAAGGGTATACCATGCAAGCCTGGTCGAAAGCATATAGTCCCTCTCCCTCCCTGGGTCCAGAGTCCGCAGTCACTCCATCTTTCCACGTAGTCATCTCTGCCTCCATCTCTGATGTCAATATTTCTCTGGGTGGGGTCCTGCACTCTGCTCTTCTCCCTTGATGGTCCCAGTGACCTCCGCACCTGGCCTGCAAAGTCAACCACTCCCCTCCTTTTGCTACAAAACATCTACCTTTACATTTCCAACCCTCACAGTCCTAATATTAATTATTCACTAGTGTATCACATGAGTGCTATCTCCATCTCCTTTCATCCGATTTCAGACAGATTGGATACTACTCAGTGGAGAGTCTACCTTCCTCCGTGCCCTCTGGATCTAGGCTCCCTCTTGAAAGCTCGTAAGCCAGTCATTGTTCAACTTTTGTATGCATATGATATGGTTGAAAATACCATGGATTGGGTGAGACATACCTTAGTCCTTAAAGTGACATTTTTGCTCTTGAACATTTTAAAGCAATCTTTTGCAGTAGATTTGCTCAATGAAGTACATCGTTTGGTTTCTTGACTGCTGTTTCCACAGTGTTGATTATGGATCCAAGTAAAACGAAATTCTTGGCTACTTCAGTGTTTTGTTTGCCTACCATTGTCTTAGGGTAGGTTTTCTAGAGAAGTGAAATATTTATATGTATATCTATAGCATAGTGGTTTCAAGTCACGCTGCTAACCTCAAGATCAACTGTTTGAAACTACCAGCTGTTCTGTGGGAGAAAGATGAAGCTGTCTGCTCCTGTAAAGATTTAAAGTCTCAGAAACTCTGTGCAAGGTCGCTGTAGTCAAAGCTGACTCCACAGCACATAACCACCACCACCGTATATATACATCTATATCTAAGGAGCTTTGGTGGTGGTGGTGTGCTGTGGAATCGGTTCTGACTCATAGCGACCCTGTACATGGTTTCCGAGGCTATAAATCTTGATAGGAACAGAAGGCCTCATCTTTCACCCGCAGAACAGCTGGTAGTTTCGAACTGCTGTCCTTGTGGTTCACAGCCCAGTTTGTAACCACTACGCTACCAGAGCTTTAAAAATTAGGCTGCGAAATTCAAGGTCAGCATTTTGAAACTACCAGCTGTTCCGTGGGAGAAAGATGAGGCTTTCTGCTCCCATAAAGATTTATAGCCTCGGTACTATGAGTAGGAACTGACTCCATGGCACATAACCACCACCATATCTATATAAACATATATACACACACACAAACATATATATATATAGAGAGAGAGAGAGAAAGAGAGAGAGAGAGAGAGAGAGAGAGAGAGTTGTTTATTATCAAGGAAATGGCTTACAATTGCAGAGTACCAGGTCCCCATTGGATGAGAGAGAGAGAGAGCATTATATTGGGAACGGGACACACCCCCAAGGAAGCATCCCTTTAATTGATTGGCTGCCTGGTGCCTCTCATTGTAGTTAACTATGTCTGTATTAGGTTTCATCACCAGGGGGATAAGCACAACTTAACTGCTAAACCTCTGGAAATCCTGGCCTAGTTAAGTTGACACAGAACCCTAATTATTATAACCATGCTGTTAAGTTGTTAATGAGTCTTCCTGCCTGCAGTATGTGCATGCATTTAAATACCAATCATAACAGAAAGTGCTCATTATTTGGGTGAATTTAATTTTGTTGTCAAGATAATGAGCTAGAGAACAGCTTTTTCCGGACTGCCAAACTGCTTCTGGAGGTATTTTCCAAAATTCTCAAAATGCCCAAATGAAAAACCATGGGACTAAGTGTTGGATAATTGAGGACTAAGGTGCGCCTGACCCAAGCCATGGTATTTTTGGTAACCTCATATGCATGTGAAAGGTGGACAATGAATAAGGAAGACTGTAGAAGAATTGATTAATTAGAGTTATGATGTTGGAGAATATTGAAAGTGCCACGGGCTGCCAAAAGAACCAGCAGATCGTGTTGGAAGAAGTGCAGCCATAGTGCTCCTTGGAAGCCAGCATGGCCAAACTTCCTCTCTCATACTTCAGACATATTGTCAGGAGGGACCAGTCCCTAGAGAAGGATATCATATTTGGTCAGGTGGAGGATCAGAGAAAAAAAGGAAGACCCCCAGCGAGATGGATTGGCAAAGTGGCAGCATCAAAGGGCTGAAGCATGGCAATAATTGTGAGGTTGTCCCAGGATCGGCAGTGCTTCGTTCTGTTGCGCATAGGGTCACTGTGAGTTGGTACCGACTCGATAGCCCCGAACAACAACAACAACAACAACGTCTTTAGATCTTTGAATATGGTCTCTGCCACTGTGTGTGTAAACAAAATTGTTAGCATTCTGTTTGCAAAAAGGGTCTGTAGCTTTGCCCTGATGGCCCTGGGAACTTGGCTGAAGACTCCTTCCAGCCAGGTTTTTCTTAGTGTTTCCATTTTCTGCCCCTTGGCTGTATGTATACTAGCCTGCGGGCTCCTGCATTGAAATGTTGGATAACAACATAGCTGATAAGTGAGGAGTGCATATATTTTATGGACACACCCTTGTGAAAATGTCATCTTGTCATTGAACACTGAGTGATGTGCTGTCCTTTGAATAGAAAGAAAATGTTTCAGATCCTCTTAGGAGTTAGTTTTCATGAAGTGGCGGCTCTGCATCTGTCATACAGTCCTTCTGGGAGTCAGTGGCATGTATAGTGGTGGTGGTAGAGGAGTCTGTGCTTTGGAGTTTGTTAACAACTCATAACACCCCTGCATAAGGTTTCTGAGGCTGTATGTACCCTTTGCGTACCATGTGAGTACCCTGGCATGACTCTGGGGCCATGGATCTGGCTGAGGCTGGAAGACAAGTTTTTGGTGAACCTGTTGTCACACCCTGCACACAGCTCTGAGCAGAGGTTATCAGCACAGTAGGGGCCCAGGCCTAGGCCTTGTAGAACTTAGAAAATGAAGACGATACACTGGAACTCATTCTTCCGTTTTGTGTTGTTTATTAACCTACTCCATTTGTCCTCTTTCCAGGAAGCAATGCCTGTGTGTCCAGTCCTTGCAGCCTGCTCTGCCTGCCCAAAGCCAATCACAGTAGAAGCTGCAGGTGCCCAGAGGGTGTATCGAGCAAGGTCCTACCATCTGGGGACCTACTGTGTGACTGTCCTTCAGGCTATCAGTTGGAGAACAACACCTGTGTCAAAGAAGGTGAGTCCCTTTTCTTTTTCTGTCTGTCTTCGTCTTCTCTCCCAGTGTTTAACGTCCCCTAACCTTTTTGGGTCCAAGGTAAAACTAAAACCCACTGGATTCCTGTATGAGTCAGTGCTGCCTCAGTGGTAGATTCTTCTTTCCATGCAGGAGACCCAGGTTCAGTTCCTAGCGAGGGCACCCCAACTGCAGCCACTGGCTGTCTGTCTAGGGAGGCTTGTGTGTTGCTAGGATGTGGAATGAGTTTCAGCAGAGCTTCCAGACTGAGAAAGACTAAAAAGAGGGACCTTGTGATCTAATGCCAGAATCAGCCAATGAAAACCTTATGAATGACAACAGCCACATCTGCATCTGTCATGGGTTTCGGGCAGGAGTGGGCAGCATTTTATTCTGTTGCGTGTGGGGTTACTGTTGTGAGTTGCAGTTAGCAGCCCAATGCTTGACCCGCAGCGCCACTAGGGCTTCTTGTGAGTCTACCCAAGTGGAGTCTTGACTTCGCGCTGTGACCAAATGGCTGCTCCTCCTCTACCCCACGCTCCCTTTCAATTTGAATACGTGGAGTTCTAAATTTACTCCTTTGAAAACCTGTTTAGGGCTTCTTGTTCATGATCACCATTACTACTTCCCCAGCCAGCCCTAACCTGTGGTTTCTGTCATTGAGGTGAAGCTCTGAGGGGGGGTCTTTGTTGTGACATGCCTGGACTAGTGTCCAGAATTTCTGTTTGTCCTTGTCCCCTTTGTAATCATGCATTCCCTCTTAGTCCAGGGCAGCAAGGTTTACAGCCACCACCGCTGAGAGTCCATCTACTTTACGAAATGCAAATGAAACAGGAGACCGTCTTTCAGGCTCCAGACATTACCTTAAGGCTGTTGGGAGGCAACAGAGTTCACCCTCTGTTCTAACAGGAGGCGAAGGCTTTTCCACATTCCCCGTTGGAAGGCCTTTGGATATCCAAACAAGAGGCCAGTTGTCCTGTGTCCTGGACCCTGTTTACTTAAACAATACATTTTTTTTTTTTCTGTGAAACTCATTAAAACTATTGGCTTTTAAGAAGTCTTTTCTGATCTTGGCAGAAAAACTTCTGAGTGTGTAGAAAGAATTGGGTAAGCCCACTTGTTTGATAAACTGAATGTGTTTATGTATGCTTATACAGTAAAATCTGCCAAAGTCGTAACTTGTGTAAAGCAGAACCTGCCAGAGAAGGAAAACTCAAATGTTTTCTACTAATAGAGAAAAGTGATAACATGATACCCTGTCAAAGGTGGAAAACTTGTGAGGCCCAGAGAGAGAAGGCTGTCCTATCCAGTACCTGCTCTCACAGGTTTCACTGTCTATGAATTGGATAGAGTCCTGGTGTGGCGTTGTAAAATAAACACTGGACCGCTACCTGAAATTTTGGTGGTTCAGACCTATCAACCACTCCTTGGAAACACTATATAGGGTCACGATGAATTGGAACTGACTTGATAGCACTTAACAACAACACACACACACGTGTGTGTGTTTATATATATATATATGTATGTATATGTATATATATATATATATATATATGTTGTTGTTGTTGTTAAGTGCCGTCGAGTCGGGTCCGAC